CTTCGGGAAGCATGGACCCAGGAGAAAGGGCTTCATCCTGGGTGGGGGGAAGGCGGGGGGCCACACAGACAGCTTCCTGGAGGAGATGGGCTTGAGTGGAGTCCTCAGGGACAAATGGGCTGGCGGTACCCAGGGATGACCATTGCAAGCAGAAGGAACAAGGAGTCCAAAGCTATATAGGAAGGAGAACACCCAAGAGTGATCGAGCATGGCAAAGGAGACAGGGCGAGGGCACGGAGGGGACCGAGTCCCGCCCAGGCTGGTCGCGGAGGACCTCACACACAGGACATGGGCCTGCCATCCTCCTGGCGAGGCCAGCAAGCCACAGGGGGTGCCAGGAGATAGATCTGCTTTCCCGAGAGGCCGCCCTGCTCCTAGTGGACGGCCCTTCAGAGGAACAACCAGGGAGACTTGGAGGCTGGTCCAGCATGGCAGGCAAGTGATGGGAGGCAATGTGAGGAGGGCAGTGTGGTTTGGGAAAATCACTCAGAAATGCAACGTAAGTGGGTGTGTAACCGGAGGAGGAGGAGTCAAGAACAACCCTCAGTTTCCTCAGGTGGCCAGCTGAGTGCACGGGGAGTAGGGGGCCCAAAAGAGCAGCAGCAGGCGAGAGGGGCTGGCAACCTGCCCTGCCGCTAAAGGACGCAGGCACATTGAAGCCCTTGCCTTTCCTGGTGACGCATGCCCACAATGAAACAATCATAGCACAGCAATAATAAATGCAAAAAAGAAAAATGAAAAAAAAAACAACGAGATACAACATCCTCCTTCTTCATCCATGAAGCTCCCCCTCCTCTGTATAATTTGTAGCTAGGGGCTGGTTCCTCTGGAAAGTGCCCAGACAACATCAGACATTCCCCAGACTGCGCGCACGGGTGCCTGAGCAGGCATCTCCTCAGCAGGCTGGAGTTGTGTGTGTTTTGGATGTGGAAGACCAAGTGCGTAAACACCAGTGAGGTTAGATAGGGCTTCGCAAGAGCACTTGTTAAACAGTCTTCCAGATTTTAGTTACCTATGAGCTCAGTGTGCTGCAGCCAAGAAATCTTTCATTCATTCAGCAGATGTTCGCTGAGACCACTGTGTACTGTGTACAGCCTCTGTACAGGCTGCAAAATCTGCCTGTGGGATACAGAAACAGGACGGAGGAGGGGCCTTAACCAGGAGTGGACTGACGTGGAATCCCAAGGGGCAGTTGTATGGTTTGCATAAGTGCCCTAGGAGCACACTTAAAGGGTGAATGCCCCTCTCTGCCCGCAGAAGTGAGAGACTCCTCATAGAGGAGGTGACACGTGAACTGAGTCACTAAGGAAGAGAACAAATGGGCCAGAGGAAGGCTGGCACTTCCGTTGGAAGGAGACTCTGGGGGGAATGATTCAGTTTAGCTGGAGCATGACAGTCATGGAGCGGGGAAGGGAGAGGAGAATGAAAGTTTAGGGTAGGCCTTCATTTGTTAGGGTCATGGGTTGGCTTCCTTCGGAGACCGGTGACAGAAGCAAGGTAGGTTTCTTTCTCTTTCCTGTAGAAGTCCAGTTAGAAGTCTGGGGAGTAGGCTCTGCTTCCCCAAGTCACTCAGAGACCCAGGTGCCTTCTCGCTTCTTCCTCTAAAGTGGTGGTCTCTTCCCACATGAGCAAAGCTGACCTCTCACTAACACACCCGTGTCACAGCTGGTGGCACAGGGGAAAAGGAAAAGAGGAAGTGGAGTGCAAACAGTGGCCTTTTAAGGACCTTACTCAGAAGTTGCATATATCACTTACATTTACATCCTTTTGGATAGAACTTGGTCACAAGGCCACACCTACCTGCACTAGAGACAGAGAGGTGTAGACTGGTGAGGTGGCTCTGTGCCTTGCTAAACTTGGGGCTTCTGTTCCTAAAGGAAAAAGAGGAGACTGGAAATTTGGGGTCAAATTATCTCTGCTACAAGGTATGCCACCTTCATGGGTTTTGACTTTATTCTCGGAGTAGTAGGGAGCCATGAAGTACTTTATGCTGGGGAGATGCATGATTAAGATCAGGGTTTTAGCAAGCTCATCTGTCTGTGATGTGGAGAATGGATTTGTATGCCATGAGGCGGATTCAGGCTGGCTCCAGGAGGTAGACCAGTGGATAGAGGCTCAAGCATGACAGACTTGAAGCATATCAGAACTATTTAACAGGGCAAAAAACAATGAAGCAAAACAAAAAGACCAAAGTGGTCAGTATTCAGACAAACACTAGTGGTCTGGTTGGAGAAAATGTTACAGAATCTGTTCAGGCAGTCTGAAGTGTATTTGATTCATGATTCAAAGAATTTTGTGCACCTACTCTGCCAGGTACAGAGTAGATGCTAGGAGTGTGGCAGGGAACAAAAGAGAGTGAACTCTGCTCTCCTAGAGCTTGTGTGCCAGTGGGGAGAGGCATACCATCAACAACAAAACAAAGATGATTTCAGATGGTGAGAAGTTTCTAGACAGAAGAAACCATAAAGTCCCTGGGGCAGAAACACATTTGGTTAGCATCAGCCAGAAAACCAGAGTGGTGGAAGGAGAGTGAGCATGGGGGTGGCCTGTGGGAGGTGGGATTGGTGATGGCGAGGGCCTGGTCATGTGGGATGTGGGGCTGTGTTCTAAGAGCCATGGAGAGCCATTGGGTAGTTCTAAGCATTAAAGTGAGACCGGCTGATCTATGTTTGAGAATCATCAGTCCAGCTTCTGTGTGAGACTACAAGCTAGATGGTTGGAATCAAGCCCTTTAGTTAGGTGAATGCTTACCACACGTGAGGATAGGAGCCAGGGTGAAATGCACCCTGTGTCCTCTCAGGGAGGAGGCCCCAGGACTCACATGCGGTGCCAAGCCAGAACACCCCAGCCTCCTGAAGACCCTTCCTCACTCTGGTGTTGGAGAACCTGCTCAGCCCCCGCCTCCCTCGAGTGTGCCCCCAGCATTGGGGGCACGACAGAACTTGTCAGAAATGTGCAAAGACCCCAAAACCCACACCTACTCAACCACAGTCTTCACTTCGACAAGTCCCCAGGTGACTCAGGCACATGAAAGTTTGAGAAGCTCTGGTGGCATGCCCTCTTGTTAGGGTGTCTCTCTCTCCTCCTCTCTAACTATGTGCCTACATACCCTGCCCATACATATACCCACAAACACATATAAACCATACACACATACCACGCACACACCCCACACGCACAACATAAACCCCACACACACCCTACCACATATTACACACAGCACACACATATAAACCATCCATACAGGCCACATACACTCCATCCCCCCACACCCACCACCGAATTGCCATGCAAGATACGAGCTCATTGCAAATGCCCTCCGGACAGGAGGTCTGGACTAGCTCACAGTTTTGGGGTTCCTAGAGGGCAGGGCGGTGCCTCATGAACTAGATTTGAGGAGTCTGAAATTTATAAATGGGGAACCTGTGGAGATTCATTTGGTGGGAGCTTGCTGTGTAAATTGGTGTTTGAAGGAGATTAACCTGACAGTGATGAGCAGGATGTGGGAAAAAGAAGGGACAGGAAGGCCCTGGGTGGCAGATAGTCTGGAGGCTGCGCAGAAATATGAAGGAGACTGTCTTTAGTTAATGGAGCATGCTTTTATATTATTTACAAAATACTTTACACTCTAAATTTTCTGGAATATGTATCTGTTATCTTTGCAACCAAGTTGAAAGAAACAAACCTGTCTAGGCTCAGTATTGTTTGGGCCAGCACTAGGATGGGGCACTATGTGAGAAACATGAAAAGGGTGCCTGCTCCATGTCTGGGGGTCCTCCTGCTTATTCTTTACAATTCTGTGTAAGCATCTCTCCTCTCTGCGGGCTTCTGGGTGAGTGTCTCCTGCCCTCCTCCTCCTCAGCATTGTTAGTGCACAGCACAGGCTGGACGTGAAGGGCACTCAGAAAAATGCTTCTCTAAGGTTGAAGAATAAGTATGGGCCAAGGGTGTCAAGTCTAGGTAGCTGAGTGATTGGTGGTGCTTTGGAAAGAAATGCAGGATCTTGGAGTGGTAGCCAGTTTTGGAGGAAAGGTCTGAAGTCGTTTTTAGGTGTCCTGAAATGTCATCATGGGAAGGGAGACATCAAGTTGTTAACAGTGGACAGAAATGAAGAAGAAAGGCCCACTCTGGGGTAGGGGTGCTTTTTATTTCACAGGATAGAACTGATCCTTCCCGAAGTGTCCTGTGACTGATTAACCACACCACACGCCTTCCTGTTTGATTCTCCCAGGGGTTCCTGGAACCGGATTAGGCCGGGCGGGAGGTACTGGAGATCTGGTGCCCTCCATTCCTCGCCCCTATATTTAGCTGCAGTGGGTTTACCCCGGATGTGCTGGCAGCCCGCACACTGCAAAGCCGCCTGAGAGCTCAGCCCTGCGGGCTCCGGGAGGGCGCTTGGCACCAAAGCCGGTTCACGTGTGTGTGCCCTGTGCACCGTTGGTAATGCCCTGACCCAGGGCAGCAAGGAGAGCATGACTTTGTGTTCTTGAAGTACATTTTAGCTCTCCCAGGTTCTCAGTTTGAACATTTATAATCTGGGCTCAAGAGCATATTCCATTTCATGTGATTCATAAAGTGAATTAGGGAGAAGTTTTTACACTGAAATCTCATAAATTCAAATTCATAGGACTCTATGGGGCAAAGGTGTGTTACCTCATCTTATGTTGTATGAAATTTTGTGCTCTTCAAGACCATTAAGTGTTTCTTTTCCCTCAAAGAAAAATTGTTCCACACGTCGGACAAAATAACTTCAACAATGAGTCTGTCTGTCTTGTAAAAAGAAGACTAGGTAATTACGGCTCACTAGAAACCCAAACAGAAAGGCTGGGGTGTAGTGTTTCCTGAAGGCCTGTCAGTGATGGAAGCAGTCAGAGGTCCACAGACCCACGCTCATCGCCCCTCCTCAAAGCACGCCCAGTTCAGAGTTGGCCCCACAGGAGGGGAGAGCTCATTTGTCGGGGGTGGAGGGTGATTGTCAGCTTCTCACACTTTTATTTCAGATCATCAGAAAAGCCCTTTCTGAGGAAAAACGTGTTTCAACAAAAACATCAGCTGCAGATCTTGTGACAGAAACGGATCACCTTGTGGAAGATTTAATTATTTCTGAGCTGCAGAAGAGGTTTCCTTCGCACAGGTAGGTGTATTCCTCAGGGAAAACATCCCAGTGACAGGTTGCCACGTTCATGCGGAAGGCCAGGGTCTAACCCCGGAGGCTGCACCGTTGGTTCTGGGGGCAGACATAAAACAGGAAGCCTCATGGTCTGTCCCCTGATACTTTGATTGCATGGTAAACTGACCCTAGTTTCATTCTTTTTACTGTCATCTCGTCAACCCTCCTGTCAATATGGTACCTTACAAATACTGAAAAGCTTCCACTTTCACAATGCATTCTCAGGGGAAGTGCCCTGTTCCCTTCTACTAAGCCACTTAGCATATTTCTGAAAGGACTTGGAGCATTAGTGTTCCATGGCAGCATGTGTCTGCTTGGTGGCCCCATGCACACTTTCCAAGAAGGATGTGACCCTGAATGGCGCCATCAGCTGTGTGGGCCCAGATCCACCATCTGGTGGTGCACCCCTGCTGGTATTCAGTGACCCGTTCTCCCCTCGCCAGGCCAAAGCCTGCAACAAGGAAGGTTGCTCTCCTCCCTGGGGAGGCCTTTATGGGATCCCAACTTGCTCTGCTCTAGAGTGGAAGTTCTTGACCTTTTGAGATCACTGTGTGGAGAAGCTGATGCAAACTATTAATCTTTTCCTGAGAAAAATTCAAATATTTACACAGCATTTTGCACCTTATTCCAAGGGAGCCTTAGACCCCAGAGGAAGGCTTTCCTTGAGCTCTAGGGGCTCCTCAGGCCCTTCCTTCCCCCTCAGTGTTCTGCAGAACTGAGTTTGAAAACCACTGCCTTGGATGCAAGGGGTCTCTTTCTTTCCTTATGGAGAATTGCTAAAACTGGAATACCAGTTGTTGCATTTCTGGATGTAGATCATTATAAGAGTCAGATTCCATGTTTGTTTGTACTTACGCAGCAGAAACACATAAGGCAGGCTCCCTCAGCATACGTCTAACACAGGGTAGGCGCCACAGATTTTTTTCCCTGTGAATAATTAAGCAAGGGAAAGGACAAGCCGGTGCTCAAATTTACCCCCTTTTTTCCTGTTGTTTGCTTTAACTGGTTAGGTTATCTCAAGGTCACCAACTCTCCTTCAGAATTCTCTCTGCCAATAAGTTGTGTTTGTTTTGTTGACAACCTTTGTGTTTGAGTGTCTATTATTTCCTATTTCCTTACTCAGTGTGAAGTCAGGATCCTTGACATCTGTTATAATATTTATAAGCTCTAAAATGTTTATGATATTTTAACTTTTAAAAATCTAAATTAAATGGTGGTATCAAAAGAATTATATAGACTGCTTTTATTCTTTGAGAGGAAATAGGCTACAGTAACCCACCAGCTTTTTCTGACTGAGGAACTATTTTGGTGCCCGAGGTTTTGTTGGAATTGGTCCAAGTGGCTATGATAGAAGTGAGGGCTGGCTCAGCCGTATGGGGTCCTCGTAAGGGCCTTAAGGGCAACTGTAAGACTAGGCATAATGGCATTATCAGGCCTTCCGTATTTTTCAGTTAGATTGCTCTGACAAAGGAAATTCTGAAATTGTCTGCCCCCTTGTATGTATGGACAGCAGTTGCTCATGTCTTGGATCCACTATGACGTCAGAATGGTGGATTCCTTCTGTACAAGGTATATTTAAATGTTCTTTGCTATAATCCCTATCAAAGTTCCAATGACACTTTTCACAGAAATAGAACAAAGAATCCTAAAATTTGTATGGAACAAAAGACCCCAAATAGCCAAAGGAATCCTGAGAAAAAGAACAAAGCTGGAGGTATCACACTCCCTGATTTCAAAATATACTACAAAGCTGTAGCAACCAAAATGGCATGGTACTGACACAAAGACACACAGATCAGTGGAACAGAATTGAGAGCCCAGAAATAAACCCACACATCTATGGACAGCTAATTTCAGACAAGGGAGCCAAGAACATGCAATGGAGAAAGGAAAGTTCCTTCTATAAATGATGTTGGGAAAACTGGATAGCCGTATGCAAAAGAATGAAAGTAGACCATTATCTTAACACCATACACAAAAATTAACTCAAAATGGATTAAAGACTTGAATGTAAAACCTGAAACTGTGAAACTTCTAGAAGAAAACATAGGCAGTAGGCTCTTTGACATAGGTGTTAGCAGCATATTTTCAAATACCATATCTGACGGGGCAAGGGAAACAAAAGAAAAAATAAACAAATGGGACTACATCAAACTAAAAAGCTTCTGTACAGCAAAGGAAACCATCAACCAAATGAAAAGACAACCTAAAAATTGGGAGAAGATGTTTGCAAACCATATTTCAGATAAGGGGTTAATATCCAAAATATATAAAGAACTCATACATCACAACAACAACAAAAAATCCAATTAAAAAGTGGGCAAAAGATCTGAAGAGACATTTTTCCAAAGAAGATATACAGATGGCCAACAGGTATATGAAAAGATGTTCAGCATCACTAATTATTAGCACCTCACTCCCGTCAGAATGGCTGTAATTAAGACAAGAAATAAGTGTTGGAGAGGAAGTGGAGAAATGAAACACTCATACACTGCTGGTGGGAATGCAAACTGGTGCACCCACTGTGGAAAACAGTATGGAGATTTCTCAAAAAATTAAGAATAGAAATACCATATGATCCAGTTATTCTGCTGCTGGGTATTTATCCGAAAAACATGAAAACACGAATGTGTAAAGATACACGCACCCCTATGTTCACACAGCATTATTCACAATAGCCAAGACTTGGAAACAACCTAACTGCCCATCAAGGAAAAAATGGATAAAGAAGATGTGGTATAGATACAGAATGGACTACTACGCAGCTATTAAAAAGAAAAAAGATGAAATCTTGCCATTTGTGACAACCTGGATGGACCTTGAGGGTATTATGCTAAGTGAAATAAGTCAGAGAAAGTCAAATACCATATGATCTCACTCATAAATAGAAGATAAAAAAACCACCAACAACAAACAAATGTATAGATACAGAGATTAGATTGGTGGTTACCAGGGAGAAGGTGGATGGAGGAGGACAAAAGGGGTGACGGGGACATGTGTGTGGTGATGGATGGTAATTAGTCTTTGGGTGGTGAACATGATATAATCTACACAGAAATGGAAATATGATAGTATACACCTGAAATTTATGTGATGTTATAAACCAATGTTAACTCAATAAAAAAAAGAAAAAAAGAAATATTCATTGCTCTGTGTCACAGGACAAAAGTCAGTGTATCCACCCAGCGCAGTGGACCCTACCCAGGGTGTGTGTCAGGCCCATCTGGGAGCTTCTCCAGCCCCTAATGCCAGGGCTCCATCTCTGAAAGCCCTGGGAGATGCAGATGCCACACCTGGCTAGGAATCAGCGATTTAGAGAAGTGGTTCCCAAACTGCGGTCTACAAGCTAGTGCCAGCCAGGCCCTGAGGGTCAAGACTTGGTTGCCCTGCAGTCAGTCACTGGCTCTTTGCCACTGCTTCCTTTGTGGCCCTGATGTGGCTGAAGGCTGGACGTCACTGCTCCTACTCTCTGCTCAGTTCGTCTGGAAAATTTAAAAGGATGAAATCATTTTTCAACAAATCTATGTCAAATTTAAAAGAAAGTACCAGAATTTGGGACCATTTAATTGTATTTTAGATCATAGACAAATTAATAAATGAGAAAAAATTGCATATGATTATAAAATAAAATAGTATGTTGTAATTTTTCTGCATTCAGAGTATTTAAATATCTCCCTTAAACAATAAGCTAGCATAGGGTTAACCATCATCCTTTTTAGGAAAGACTTTCTTTCATTCTGAGCTTATGCTCTTCCTCATTTTTAATCTTTCATGAAACAATATTAAAGATACATTGTAACTTTTTTTTTTTTTGAGGAAGATTAGCCCTGAGCTAACTACTGCCAGTCCTCCTGTTTTTTTGCTGAGGAAACCTGGCCCTGAGCTAACATACGTGCACATCTATGTGGGATGCCTACCACAGCATGGTGTGACAAGCAGTGCCATGTCCGAACCCGGGATCCAAACCAGCGAACCCCGGGCCACCGAGAAGCGGAACATGTGAACTTACCCGCTGCGCTACTGGGCCGCCCCCCTATTTTGTTTTTAATAAAGTAAGAAACAAGCTGATATAGGCTCCCTGGTTTTATTAATTTATTTTATTAATTCCTTTGTGAAATCCAAAGTCTGGGTTCCTGATCTGGAAAAGAGGCGTAGACTGAATCAAAGAATAGTAAGGTTTAGACTTGCCCTCAGCTATGGCAAATCCCTCCACTTCTCAGGGGCCCTGTCTCCTCACCTGGGAATGGCGGACCCAGGCAGGGCCATCTCTGCGGTTCCAGCACTAATGCTGATGTACGGCGGTGATGACAGAAAGCAAAGCAGTGGGTCAGGTGGAGAGGCACAGCTTGGGTCTTTGAAGGCAGTGTGGGCGTTGACCACGTTAGCTCTGGCTCCAGCCAGGCCTGCCTTCGTTGGTACCTCAACCTGTTTTCAGTGATGATTTTGCATTAGAGCCAAGTTTAGTGACTTTGAAAATACCCAGTAGCCTCACTGAACTGTATTCATACACAGCCCGTCCTTGTCCCTTTTGTCAGGGTTGGCACGGGCAAAGGCGGGAGGACAGCTGCTTAAGCTGCTCTGTATACACAGCCACCTCCTCTGCCCAGGTCTGGGTCCCCATTGGTGGGACATGGCCTCGTCCATCATGGTGACCCCGTGCCCTGCAGTGTGTCCAGTGTGCCCTGGACTTGGAAACAGGATGGCCCAGCCCCTGCCAGCTGGACGCTTGCTCTCCATCATTTTCCCCCTGCTTTGTGCTGGGTGCTCGTGTCGTCAGGCAGCAGAGGCCGCCGCAGTGCTGGTGGCGGCTGGGCCGTGGCTTGAGAAGATGAGGCCGAGGAATGTTAATTGGCTCCCTGGTGGACTGAAAGGTGAGCCTGACCTTGTCACAGGATAAACACACTAATCAGGAAAAAAAAGGCCTAGATGCACTTGGCCATCAAAATTATAAGAAGGTTTTGTTACAACTATTAGGAAAAAAAGGGAAGTAGTTAAATTAGGCAGCAGAATGTATCATTCTAATAGTTAGCATACTTCCAACCTTGCGCCAGATGCTCTTTTCCTCTTTACATTAGACAGGCTTATGAAATGTCCCTTGAGCTCCCTAGATTTAGTCACATGCATTGTTTTTTCTTATTTGTTATGGATTTTATATAGATGTTCCAGTGCTTTTATTAAGGTCTCTATTATTTCACACTTCCATTTGTCCACGTTGATGTCCCCACTCCATCAGAAGAGAACTGAAGAATGTTCTCTTCCATTCTGTAGATATTAGCCTCCCACACAAGGAAAATCAGGTTTAAGTGAATAAAAACTCTATATCCCTCCCCACATGCCAGGGAGGTGTTTTTGGTCCTGAAGAACAGACGCAGTCGCTGCCCTGTTAGCTTCTGGGGCCTCCCACAGTGCCGCCCGCAGGCGCGACGTTAGCCGGGAGGCGATGGAGCTTCTTCAGTGCCCCTCACTCAGGCAGCTGGGTAAAGAGGAGAACTCTCAGGTGTGAACAATCCACTGCTGAGCGGTCCAGGGACTTAATGTGGGCCGCTTGAGTATTCCCCTTAGAAGCGCCTTGCAGAACAAAGTTCTGTGTCAACGGGAGCGTGATGGGTGCTGCTGCAGAGCAAGCTGCCCGCTGAAGCCCGCAGACTGTCCCCCACACCTGCTGATGTGGCCCCGCGTGTCCTGAGAGGCCCCCGCCGCTGGGCCACGTGCTGGCCTTGCGCTGAACTCTGGCACACGTGTTGGATGGCAGTCCCGAAAGAAGCTCTCCCTCTTCCTTCCAGGGGACCCCAGCAATTTCCCCTCTAACTCGAGTAGGTACCAGCTTCCCACTTAAAATCGGGTTTGAAAAGGAAAAAAATTCCACACTCCTCCTCAGTTTCCTGGGAACTGATCTTTGTAGGTGAGGCATTTCCATTCCTATCTTGACCTTGGTAATGTCTTTTCACTGCTTTATCGACCTTGTGCCCCATTTAAGCTTTGGCACTTGGTCCTTACATTATGTGTGCTTTCAGGGTGTGGACTCTTTGTTTTAAAAACATAATCACAAGTCATTTCATGGGAGGAGAATCATGCAGCTACGAAGATGACATTGAAAACATTTAATTCCTTAAGCTTTGGCTAAGAAAACTGGCAGAGCTAATGCCACGTACGATCATCACTGAGTGGAGTGATTCTGTGTGCACATCACCTGCATTTCTGCTTTGGTCAGGAGTTCAGGCCTCACCGCCTGGCCACACCCTGCCTGCCCTGGCTCCCCTGGCTGTGTGTCTTTCACCACACCATTTGTTCCATCTAGACTCGCCTGCCTGGATCACGTGGTCCAAATGATCCAAAAGCCCAGGGAGGGAAGTGATGGTGGGGAGGCATTTCCCAGCAGGAGGAGGGGATGCAGAGCAGACAAAAGCAAGGAACCAGCGTCCGCTGCATCTGGTCTGCCCACTGGATTGTAAGCTTCTGGGGGTAGATTGTGCTCACTCTGGCTTTCTCCGCACAGCTGCCATTTTTCAGGGCGTGGATTTCTCAGTGTCCCACTCAGTGCTTTCCATCTCCAGTGCTTTGCCTGCTCATGCGTGGCTGTCTCCAGGGACCACGGTGGGTAGGGAGGAGGAGGTAGAAACACCACCCTGAAAATGACACATGTACACTCATATATGCTGATGTTTTTCAGATAATTTATAAGATAGAGGGGCTAGATGACTGTGCATGTAGAGCATGAATTTCATAATCTGTGAAATGGAAATGATGGTCCCAGAATTGTTGGGGGACCAGGTGAATTACAGTGCATATGACAGCACTGTGTTGACTGAAAAGTGACATCAGAATGCAAGGCACTTGTTATTTCAGTGTTACAGACTAGGACAACACTGGCCCATAGAACCTCCTGTGGTGACAGAAATGTTCTGTCTGCACTGTCCACTGTGATAGCCACTAGCCCATGTGGCTAGTGAGTACTTGAAATGTGGCTAGTGAGACTAAGAAACTGACTTTTTAATTTTTTAAATTTTATTTAAATTTAAACAGCCACATGTGTCTAGTGATACTGTATTGGGCAGAGCAGTTACAGAGGTTTCCATTTTCAGTCTTTTCATTTATAATGTCAATCTCATCTGCAGTTCATTGATGCCAAATCATGGGACATGTGGTTCCTCTGGGGAAAGTGGTTTCCAGGGACGCCTTGAGGCTGAGGGGGAGTGGCCTGCCCTGTGCTCTGACCTCTTCACGGGCGAGGCAGCTTCCTGATGACCACGACTGACAACACACCAAATGCCATCAATAAGACATGAGGCATTTCTTGTTTTTCATTCATTCTTCCTTCTTGGTAAAAATCTCTTGTCTTCAGTTCTCCTCTTTCTCTAGTACAGTTGTGGACATGCATGAGAACCTAGTAGAAAACCCCTCTGCAAGGCCTTGTATCCACACATCAAACAAATGTTTGCTCAGTGCCTGCCGTGGACAGGTCCTGGTGACAGGGCAGAGGCCCTACCCTTGGTGACCCGGAGTCTGTTCATGACAGTCAGCAACGTGCACCGGGCACTGTGTGTGCCAAGCCCTGTCCTGTATGCTTTAGATGGAATATGTTCTTTATCCTGAGTTCGCCTTCAGGAGGTGTAAGCAGAGGCCAGCTCTGCAGGGACACAAACCGCTGCCTGAATGGCCCCCACTGAGCGGTGCTGAGCCTGGGTGGGTGGTGGTGGGAGGGAGGAAGACAACAGGGAAGAGTTAAGGATGCCTTCCCTAGCTTTCAGCCTGATCACTGGGGTACCTGGCAGTCCCTTTTGCTGAGACGGACGTGAAGAGAGACATCCAGGAGCTCCCTTTTGCGCAGGTTGATTTTGAGATGTTGGGTGTCTTGTTCAGATCCCTGATAGGAGATAGACGGCCCCCTCACATGAGGATAGTTCCAGGAGGGCTTGTCTACAGAGAACTAATTACAAAGGCCAGGAACAGGGCCCACTACCACTGCTGCAGGGGGTGCCCGGGCTTGGGGGTTGGAGCAGGTTGGCCGTGCTCCTGCAGGATTGGGGGGTGGGCGGGCATCAGAGCCTGAAGGAGAAGGGAGGAGTGGAGGCTTGCCCTGGTGAGTAGGGGGCGCTCAAAGGGAAGGAGCCAGCAGGTATTGTAACTTCACTCTCCTTCCATTTCTCCTCTCTGTTGGGTTCCCCAGAGGACAGGGGTGCCCAGGAGGTGTGCCCTCCCCGGGGGGGTCCTAGGCCAGAGACCAGGGTGGAGAGGGCCTCTGCAGGGAAATGTCAGCTCCTGTTGAGCCCGAATGGTGGGGGTCAGTACACGTGGATGCAGTTGTCTCCTTGTCTGCAGTTCAGGTGAGGCCAGCTGGGTACAGACCTGGGAAAGGTCAGCTGTAGGTGACATTTAACGCCTTGCTTCTGGTCGGTGAAGCACTCTGCCCCAGGCCACAGCACTACTAGTAGGAATGCTAAACCAGAGTCCTGGGCCCTGCTCCCTGGCCAGCATTCCTGATGCTCTTCTCTCTCTTGTCTGTCCTCGGCCTTCCCTCCTCCAGACTAAAGTTAAAGCAGAATTTAGCTTTGCTTCATCCGATGTGTTTCCCAGTGTTCTTCATTCTTGTGTTTCTCCCTGCTGCTTTTCCAGAGATCCTAAATTGAGGTGTCATTTGTGTTTTCTGAATCCTGCTGAGTAAGTAGACTACAGACAGATCAAAAATCAGATGGTCTTACAGACTCTCCATCAGTTTGCTCTGCAGAAGCCATCATGAAATCTCTTTACTGTGGCTGCTTTGTCTTTGATGCGGCCGGCAGCAGTTTGAAGTGCTTTGTCTTGAGTTCTTGCTGCGTTTTCTCAGGCTGTGTTCCTGCCCATCACAGGTTCATTGCAGAAGAGGCTGCAGCTGCTGGGGCCAAGTGCGTGCTCACCCCCAGCCCCACCTGGATCGTCGACCCCATTGACGGCACCTGCAACTTTGTGCACAGGTGAGCATGAGCATGGGTCACCTCATTCTAGACCTTTAACTGCCGTCTTCTCTAAGACTGTCTTTTCCAAAGCAGCATTTCTTAAGGCAGAAGTATATAAGAAAATCTCTGGTAGGTTTATAGTCTCATCAAAAAGGTGATCAAATCTTGATATTTTTAAAATAAGGTCTTCCATTTGTGAGATACTCTCAGAGCTTGCGGGAAATCTTTACTTGTTTAAAAACCATTGTGTTTGTTATCTTTAAAATGTGTGGTTGAATTAAGAAGGACCCCTTAAGGAGGCCCCGGAGAAACAAGCAGGGTTAAAACAAGCATGTGTGGTCCAGCAGCTGCAGGAGCACAAGGTATAGACAGCAACACGTGACGTTCTGGAGCTGCCTTTGGAGATGGGAACAAACCACATGTCACCATGAGACGGGATGAGGAACCCATTAGCAGCTGACTGGGCCTAATGTGACTAGGCAAATGACAGCTAAAAAGCAGTAGATTTTAGGAAGGTCAGCAGGGACCTTGGGGGGAGGGGAAGTGAGCCGCAGAGCTCAGGGAGGTGACAGGGACGTGGCCCTGGCCCCAGAAGCTCTGAGTAGTGGGGCGGGCATCAGAGCTGAACTGGCTAATCTGGGGATGCAAGGGCACAGAAGGTGATGTGGTTTCCACAGAAGGTGGTTTTCTGACTTGAACATGTTTAGAGCCCCCTGGAAAGCTGGTTGGCACAGGTTCCTGGCCCAGCCCCAGGTCCCCCATTCAGTAGGTTGAGGCGGCCCGTGGATCTGCATTCTTCACAAGCTCACAGGTGATGCCAGCACTACTGGACCACACTGAAAGCCCCTGCTGTAGATGACTACGAATCAGTCTGGTTCCTCACTTCGAGTGAGAAAGTGTGAGCACAGCCCGATGCTGGGGATCGCTCTTGGTGCTGTCCTCTGTTTTGTCTCAGGTGTTATGTTTATTTGTAAGTATGTAAAGTAATTCCAATGTATCTTGTTAATCACCACCCTTTTCTTAAAGGGTGTCTTGAGAATTCAGTCAGTCGTGCCCACGCAGGTGGCCCTCTTGAGGCAAAGAAATAGTGCCATCTGGTGACAGCAGCACGATCTCCAGACTGTAATTTTACCTCAAGTGTGACACCCCTCTGGAGAGTCATGCGGTATCACAGGTCTCCCTCTGAGGTGTGTTTTGCTGAGTGAAGCGCCTGTTACTCTGTCTTGCTCTTCATTCCAGTGTGCTTGTGAGGACAGGGCTGCTGAGCCTCGGCAAGTGGTGAAGGCCACACGTCCACCGAGGGTCTTTGGTGGGCTCCAGTGGCCCCAGGGCCAAGGGGAATGTGGGGCCAGAGAGACAACTTGGAGAAGGGCGTCATTTGGAAAACAAACTGTGGTGCTGACCCTTACAGTTCCAGAACACCACCAAGGGCCAAAGCAGTGGCAGTTCTCGTGGCCTAAAGACATCCAGAAGCTTTGGCCACTGCAGCTCAGGTAGGACCTGTCCATTCTTGTATCCGGCAGACAGGACTAAAGCAGGTGGGACAGAGCTCTTCTGAGAGTTGGGACTAAAGCTGTGCCTGGCGCATGGTGTACTTGGTAGTGAGCCAACCAGCAGTGGCGGCGGTGCATGCTGCTGCTGCCTCCGTCAGGGCTCAGATCCATGTATGATCCGTTTCATAGTTCCCCTGTAAGTTAGCAGTACCCAGTCTTTCCTTGTTCCTGCTTGTTGTTAAGCTCTGATGATCCTCACATAAAAGAGATTATTTTGAAGATGAGCAGCAACCACAAAATCGTAAAATAAAACCACAAGCAAACTGCGACATCACAGCTGGCCTTCAGCCAGCATGGCCCGCACCTGCTCTTGGATGCTTGGGACCTCACACAGGAGATGGCGAGGAGAGATGTTGTTGCCCAGACCTGGCCTCTAGAGGGAGGCTGTGGCCTGGGGCCTGCAATGGCACCTCTGGGGGCCCCTGTCACCCAACCTGGGACATGGGTCTGCCCTTTTTGGAGGTCTCTGAGAATCAAAAGCTGCTTATTAAAATCTCTCTCAGTTGGGTACTCAGCAGTCATTGTTGAATTACATCGGTCTCACGTGGTTTTCAGAATGTTGCCTTCTTTCAAGGGCAGCTGTCTTACAACATGGCCAGCTAAGCCTGTTTGTCTTGGAAGCCGTTAATCAAATTGTGGGAAGTAGTTTTTAAAAAAAGCAAACACGCTCACACTGTAGAAAGGCCCTTCTTTGCCTTGAATGACGATGCTCCACAGCCACATAGAGGCTCCTAAGAGTTTCCGTGTTGGTAAAGAGCAGTTATGTTTTAGAATGCAAACCATTCTGTTTTCCTTTGCAGATTTCCAACTGTGGCAGTAAGCATTGGATTTGCTGTGAACCAAGAGGTGCGTAGTAGGTGGGGCCCCAGGGTCAGTGGTCTCCAAACCCCTTCGGGTCCCCAGGGCTCCAGGTTTTGTTTAGTCATCTTCCTGTTTGGTTTCAACCTCTACATTCCTGCTTTTCTCTCTTTGTCATATGCCTTAAACATGACTAGTAAATCTAAGTGTGTGTTTTTCAAATCTGAGAAGGTAAACAAACGCAAACCGGTTTAGGGGTGTGGAGGTTTGGGCCCCTGTGGCCGGCCCTCCCCCCACGGTGGCTGGCCCTTGTTTCCACTGTGGTCTTTTTGTGTTGCTGCTGTGGAAGGGGAAGTTTGAGCAAATGGTCCAAGTTAGTCTCCATCTGACCCCTGGGGCGTGTGATCCAGTCACACTCAAAAGGAACTCCTATTTTTGGAGGACACTTTTAATCCCAATCTTCTATTAATTCTTCTTTATCTCCTCTAGCTATTAGTATGAGAACGTGGCTATTTCAGGGTTCCCAAAGATCCTCAGAACTAAGCAATATCATGAGACCTGCATAAAAGGCAGTAACACTTAGGAAAAGCCTTAACTTCTTTGTAGTTACTACAGTTTTATTTAAGTAGGACTGGGGGCTCAGTGTTTTTGCAAAGCAGTCCTCCTTTAGAACACTGTTTTCTCATCGTAATCCTCAGTCTTAGCATAGGTTCCCTAGCATGGACACAGAGACGTTTATACTTGTGTAAAAGTACTTAAGTAGAAGATAAGTTGAATTTTAATGTTGAAATTTGGCTCAGGAGTTAATTACTCACTTGTTTCTCTGTTAAATGTTGTCATTGAGACTGAGTAGGAGGTTGAGCAGTAAGCTCAGAGGGTGATGCTCATGACCCCATGTCAGTGGTGGTAGTAGGGACGTGCGACACAAAAATGCTGCGGCCGGGAAGGTTGCAGTGGTGAGGCCCGTAACCTACAATGGGTCTGGTGTGTGTGACTGCGCATGGTGGCCCAAGCTTGCAGTGGCGGGCCCCTCGTCAAGGGGAGCATCCCACCCTTCCTCTCCATCTCACCCTTTGCCACCTTCCTGCCAGCAAAGGCCTCCAGGCCACCCGCTCGCCCTGGGGGCACAGGACCCGCACCATAGGGTCTCAGGCCAGCGGGATTCTAGGCCTGACCCAGATCTGGGAACCCTTTGAGAGCCAGGGCAGTGGGAAGCGGGTGGGGAGAACAGATAAGTGTTGCTGGAAAGTGTAGGGCTGACCGAGCGAGCCTCCCCAGAAATAAACCCCATCCTGAAGGTCGGGGAGTCCGTTCCACCGTGGCTGTGCTCCCCTAGCCTGGCCGAGACGTTTCTAAGGCATTTGGCCTGGATCTCTCTTCCTTGTCCAGAGAGCCGAACACTTGGCTAAGCCCCAGACCGAGCACACTAGCCATTGTTAACCCTGAGCGTGAGCAGTCGGTAGAGGAAGGGCAGCAGAAACCTGTGGGTGTGAGGCAGCGTTTTCTCCACACTCCCCTCTTGTTTCTCCCATCCCTTATTGGGAGGCTGTTGCGGGGGCCCGTGTCACCTGCTGTGTGCAGTGTGGCTGCTGAGCGCGCCGCCTGCTTAGGGAGGAGCCCTCTTTGCTGACCGCTTCTCTCTTCCAGGGGCTGTCTTTGGGTTCTGTGATTCCGTTGGCTTTACAGATGCATTCTCAATTCTTCACACATCAGCAGTTTTGAGAGTTTCTTGTGGGGTTTGATTAGAGTCACAAGGAGCGCTCCCCCCTCCCCAGAAAAAGAAAAAAAAGAGGTCTTTCTAAAGAATTAAGCTTTTTCAATAACTTTTAGTTGTTAATGTTTGATTATGATGTTAATTTTTAATGTAGTTTTAATATATTTTTAAATATAATGATTTCAAAAGAAAGTTTGCTTTTATGTGCAGGTCTAGTTATGAATCTAGATGCTGGTTTTTTCCAATTCCCTTTTGAAAGGTCATTTCTAGCACGTCATCACTGCAGTAATTGTCACACCTAGGACACCTTCCCCTCTGAATTTTGTGTCATTTTCTGGGTCAAGTAAGTGACCCGCATTTGTTTTCCGTCCTGCCCTGCATCCGCAGCTTGAATTTGGCGTGATTTACCACTGCACGGAGGAGCGGCTGTACACGGGCCGGAGGGGCCAGGGGGCCTTCTGCAATGGCCAGCGACTCCAGGTCTCCAGGGAGACAGGTGGGCTTCACGTGGCTCGTCTCAAATTGAAAGTTCGTTTCAAATTGAAACATGTGAATGGAAAATGCCAAAAGTGATCATTCCCTGAGACGGTGGTGGAAATCTCCTGCTGAGGGTTCAATCTCTTTAGGGACATTGTGTCCCTGATGACCTGAAGGTTGAGCCAGTTCTGTATCTTAATGTTTTTGTAAATGTGGCCAGGAGCTTTAAATAGTCTCATTCTGTTTTGCACTCACATCTTTCATCTTTAATGCTAAACGAAATCCATTCACCGGTTAGGATTTGGTCTCTAGCAGGACTGAGGCCAAGGCCTAGGGCAGAGGCAGGGGCCTACTCTGGCCCTCAGAGCGTGTAGGTTAACGTCAGTCACCAGGTGCAGGCTGTGGCTCCCTGGATGTGGACGAACTCAGTTGGCTTCAGTTTCCGTGGGAAGACAAATAGCCACAGGAAACAGTCGTGTAAATAAGCGATGTTTTCACGGACCACAGATGTTCCACTGTCATTATTCCTGAAGCAGAACCTCAAGGACATCCAGCAGCTCTTATAGAGGAGCTACTGTTGTGCTTACACCGCGTACAACTGTGTACGGTTAACAATATGCCAGTTCCGGTTTTTCACTGACTCTGGCCTTTCTCTCACACTGACTAGAGTAGTGATATTTTATCTCATTGTTGACGGGTGCTGTAGGGGACAGAAAAATACAAGACAGAAATAAAAGAAGAGCCCAGACAAGAAGCAGCTGGATTAGGAGAAGACTTCAAAAGCTCCCTAATGTTCATGTTTGAGTCTGAAAAGGTCAGGAAGCACAGTTCCTGCTAGCCGTTGAGCCCCTGAAGTGGGATGATAGGAGGTGTCCTCCCCGATCATGGCTTCAGTCTGTGGGTGTCAACACTTCCCCTCTGAGCTTCCTGTGCCTTCCTTACTACCTCCCCTCTACACCTGTTTCCAGCCTCTCTGTTTAAAATTCCTTTCCTAGTGCCCTTTCCTCATTGTCTCTATTTATTCTGCCCTTTCTTCCTCCCTGGATGACACCTTTGTGCCTGGATGGCCTTAGAGGCAGTGAGAGGAATAAGGTGAGTCCCTGCCCTCCAGCTGCTCCAGCTGCAATCCCAGAGAGAGTAGTGCCTTGCAGGAGCCCAGGGGGGCGTGACTGTGTGTGTGTTGGGGATGGGGGGGGCGGGCAGGAGGGAGCTCTGTGTGCCTGGAGCAGGCAGCACCCTGACCCAGTGATCAGCCGGTCTGCTAGGGGCAGGACCATGAGGAGACTGAGGCGGCTCCCTCGGAGGCCTGTGAGATGAAGAGCGTGCCCTGGGCAAGGGTAACGGGGGAAGGTCACAGGAGGCTTCAGACAGAGGTGGGACCAGCAGGACACAGGAAGCAGTTACTGCTTCTGAATCACAGAGAGATTCCAGAACAGCTTCCAGCCCTGCCCCGTTTCTCCCTCTCCCAGAAATGTTGTGTTTGGCTGTGTAAAAAGTAGCATTAATTATAGCCACACATGCCAAGAGGTAACCACTCAAACTGAATTGTGTAACCCAGTAGTGAGGAAGCATGTTATTAAACACGCTTAAGTGAACTTTGCTCTATATTTCATTTGGTTATAACACTCAACTCTATTCATACACACTTGGCTTCCTGGTCGGCTGCCTGCGTGGCTCAGTCGTACATGACAACTTCACATCCTCAGTGGGGCTCTCACACCACTTGCCCAGCACTGGCTTGTCTCACCCCTGTGGACAGGGACTCTGGGTCACCACTATGTCTGGCCCATTGTAGGCCCTTCCGTCCCCCCAGTTCATTGCTCACACTGTCATAACCCCTCCCTACAACGTGGCTGTGGTTTGCATTTCTCTCAAAATTGCTCATGTTCCAAAGCTCATTTGTGATTCTGTAAAAACTCTGGCTCATAAAGTCCAGTGTGTTTTCAGCCTGGCCGTTGTCTATTTGGTGGGTGACTAGACTTCTCTGGGAGGTGATGGAGTACACTCTTCAGCAGCACAGTCCTTAGGCGTCGTACAGACCTGGTTTCAAATCCTGATTGTGCCACCTTCTAGTGCTGTGGCTTGTCAGTTAACCTCTCGAAGCCTCAGTCCTCCTCTGTAAAGTGGGATGATGATAGCTGTGAGGATTAAGTAAACTTATATAGAGAAAGCACCCAGGAAAGTCTCTATTACACAGTACCCACAAATGAGAGTTGTTATCAAAGAAGAAAGTTGAGTCTTCCACAGGATCAATCAATTATAACCCATTGTTGAAATCAGGATGCGTTTCTGGAGGAAACAGGCATTTAAACAACCACCACTAATTTTTCTCTCCTTGCTTTCTTTGCCTTCTCTTTTCCTATTACAGCTTTCTGGAATGTCTTCAACTCACAAATTGAAAAACAAAACAAAACTACACTGGATAGGGATAAAGGATTCAATGGAGGCCAGAATTTCATTAGCTTTTTCTTCAAATTCCACTGTACAAATACAGGGGAGGAAGACAATTCCTCTACCCATTCTAGGTCCTTCTGGCTGGTCTACGAATTAAATTGACTTGAGACAGAATAACAGGAGAAAATCAAACAAAGCTTTTTAACATGTATACATGGGAGAAACCCAGGAAAACTGAGTAACTCACCAGAATGGCCGAGGTTGCCGCCTTAAATACCATCTTCAGCTAAAGACAAAGGAGGATATTGGGGATGGGGGGGAGTCAATTGTGGGAGATTACCAGAAAAAGCATAGTAAACAAGAGTACGGTTATTTTTCAGATTTAAGTCCTTGCCTTCTGCATTTATGAGTTTCTAGAGATAAGGTCATCCCCATCTTCCTGGTACAGAGAGGGAGATATTTTTACAAATGGAGATTTCCCTTACAAATGAAGATGTCTCTTACAAAGGGTAACTTCTGCTTGGTTTTTAGAGCTTGTCCCCTGTGTGCAGTTTCTTTCTTTCTTTCTTTCTTTTTTTTTTTTTTTGAGGAAGATTAGCCGTGAGCTAACATCTGCTGCCAATCCTCCTCTTTTTGCTGAGGAAGACTGGCCCTGAGCTAACATCTGTGCCCCTCTTCCTCTACTTTATATGTGGGATGCCTACCACAGAATGGCTTTTGCCAAGCGGTGCCATGTTTGCACCCAGGATCCGAACTAGCAAACCCCAGGCCACCTATGTGGAATGTACACACTTAACCATTGTGCCACCAGGCCAGCCCCATGCAGTTTCTTAAAAGTAACCAGCCCAAAATAATCCTCATGCCAAAGAGACACATCTTGAGGTGGCAAATTCTGCTCCCCTACACAAACTTCAAACATGTACAAAGTAGATAGAAAAAGTACGGTAAACCCACATGACCCGTCATGTGTCCGATATCGTCAGCTCATGGCCAGTCCTGCTTCATCCCTACCCCCAGCCGACTCCCACCACCCCAACCAACTCCCGGATACAAGTCCCAGACATAATGTCACTTTCGAGTCAATATTTCAGTATGTATCTCAAAACATACAGATCATTCTTTGAAAAACAATCACAATACCAATATCAGAGCCCTCCAAAAACTAGCAGTCATTCCTAAAATCACTGGACATCCAGTCAGTGTTCAGATTTCCACTCGTCTCATCTTATGGAAAATGGCCTTTCCAGACCACACTCGGGGTTCTAGGGGCCCATGTGGCTCCTGGGTCAGTCTTTGTTGCCAGGCTTTTTCAGTGGACAGAGATGGAAATAAGTTGTTTTTAAATATAAAATTCATCATGAGTTTATGCTGGTGTTCTCGATTCTGTTTCACGGCCACGAGGTTCTCTGCTGACTCCTCCACCTCAGTCTCCTCTGCCCCTGCTGAAAACCCAGGAATGATGAATCTAGTAAGGTCACACAGTTGCTTGTTCCCATTATCCCACAACACACACACATCAGTTTCAGAGTAACCACACTAGCCCTGCTATCAGCAAATGATTGCCAAGTGTAGCTTGAAGGAGTTTTCTGCGTTGTTTTGATTTTTCTTTTGGGAGTTCTTTTCGTCCTTAGCGAATATTCGCTGGGATCTCGAGTCACATTGCAGTGAGTCTCTGAAGTGCTTCCTGGTTCCCCTTCTTACACCGTTAACTGAGGATAATCACTTAGATACTTTTTTTCACTTTGTTTTTAATTTAGAAGGATTTTTTAAAAAAATGGTTTTATTTTGTAATTATGTAAAAAAAAAAAAGTACATTGTTCCAAAGTCAAATCTATAAAACAAAGTATATTCACAGAAGTTCAGCTTCCCTCCTGTCGTTTACCTGCTCTCTCCTACCCTCATAACCCCCGCTGAGAGAACCATTTAAAAAAGACTGTCCTTCCATTGTTTACCTTAGGTGTGTTTTTTAAAGTAAGCAGCTGTTTTGTTTGCTTTTATTCTCCATTTTGGTATAGAAAGGTCTCTATTTTTTTCCTAGTAGTTTTTCCTAAAATTTTTATATACTATCCCTAGTCCTTTCTTTTTTGGGTTATTGTCTACTGGTTCCGTATTATCAGTAATACTTTACTTAGCTTGTAACCTTTTTTCCCCCTCCTCATATACTCTGGTATATGATTAAAAAATGATACCCTTTTACTCTTGGTAACTACAGAGCAGTTGGCAAGCTTATTCTAGTTGTCACATCATCTCTCATTATCTTTCCAATTTTGGATGGTTGTGTGGTATGTGCATTTGCAGACCAACCAGCCATTGTATGCCATGCTCTCACCCTAAAACTATCATTTAGTATTTAGCCTTGGTTCCAAGGTAAATGTAGATTTCTATTTTTATTTTTACTTTTGGTGAGGAAGACTGGCCCTAAGCTAACATCCATTGCCAATCTTCCTCTTTTTGCTTGAGGAAGATTGTCGCTGAGCTAACATCTATCCCAGTCTTCCTTTATTTTATGTGGGACGCCACCACAGCATGGCTTGATGAGTGGTGTGTAGCTCTGTGCCCGGGATCTGAACTGTGAACTCCTGGTGCCAAAGTGGAGTGCATGAACTTAATCACTGCACCACCAGG